TGCCCTGAACCCCCAAACAACGGGAAAAAGGGCCTACGCTGGGTTAGGGTTTAGGGTTTAGGGTTTAGGGTTTAGGGTTTAGGGTTTAGGGCTTAGGGTTGAGGGGCTCCAAGTCATCTGGGACTCAAGGCTTTGCAGCAGTCCCAGCATGGCGCTGTCTGAATGCACCTAAGCTCCCCTTTCGAAGCACAACTAAAATGCAATGTAACCCTAAACCCTAAACCCTAAACCCTAAACCCCAAACACCAAACCCCAAACCCTAAACCCTATAAACCCTAAACCCCGAATTATGCAAGCACAAAGATATATGAAACTTGTGTTTAATGTATTCCCTTCGGCTTTAGTTTCTTCAAGAAAACGAAAAAACGAATTCCGAAGGGGACGATAGGCACATCCACGTCCCCGCCGTGGGAATGCCCGCCCGGGCGCAGCGGCATAAGATCTGCATCTCTGCATGGATCTCCTTATACTTTTGGGAGTTTGGGGTTTGGGGTTTAGGGTTTAGTGTTTGGGGTTTAGGGTTTAGGGTTTGCGGTTTCAACGTGTGACTCCTATAAAACTGATAGATTAGTGTATTGACTGTTCCCTCTTATAAGTGCATGGCATAGCTTAACCCCAAAAGTAGGTGGGCCATTGGCTTTAGGGAGACTTGCAGTACCCCAAAAGGTTGACCTAAGTCAAAAGCAGCACAAAGTAAGACCAAACCATCTTCTTCCGACCATCGCACCTAGCTACGTCTACAGCCCAAGCTCCAGCGAAACCCTAGCTGCAGCCCCCCCAAGAAAGGCACTTCGTCGGGGTGTTTTGGGCATCTTAGAGGTTACTTGGTCCAACCAGAAAATCGAGAAAAAAAACCAGGCTTAACCTGGTAGCCCCGTAACCAAATTAAAATAAGGGTACCTACCCTTTTTGGTGTTAAGTACTTTTATAAGGGAAAACACAACCCAAAAAGCGCAAAAGGGTTACCACTCAGCTACCAAGTTGAAGCCCTAAACCCTAAACCCTAAACCCTAAACCCTAAACCCCAAACCCCAAACCCTAAACCCTCTTAAGCCCAAGCCGCGTTTTTCCTCCGGGGCCTTCCGAGCAGCGAGTACTTTGGGAAGGCCCTGTCCAGCATCCCCGGCCGACTCGGCCTCCTTCTGACGGGGAGATGTTTGGGCCCTCAGCCCGAAGATCCCAAGCCCCTAAACCCTAAACCCTAAACCCTAAACCCTAAACCCTAAACCCTAAACCCTAAACCCTAAACCCTAAACCCTAAACCCTAAACCCTAACCCTAAACCCTAAACCCTAAACCCCTCAGAGGGTTTTGGAGGACAGGGCTGCAGAGCCTAAAGGGGTATTTGATATTTGTGCTTGGGGCTTTGGATCCTAAAGGGTACTTGGGGTTTAGGGCTGTAGAGCTTCAATCTTCAGAGTGCTTGAGGATTTATTGGGGCATTTCCCAAAAGAAGAGTCCGATCAGCAAGACGCCCCAAGATACGATGATTCCCCAAAAGGGCAGCGCTATCTCACGAAACTCTTCAAGTTGACTGGGGGATTCATGGGGTCTAGGGTTTAGGGTTTAGGGCGTAAGGTTTAGGGTTGAGGGTTTAGGGCTTAGCAGGGCTTGAAGTGTCTTGGTGCTGCGTCTTTCTCCACCCGCTCTTGGAGTTGCTCTGCGCAGCGTCCTGGTAGGATCCGGGGGCTCAAAGCGTGGCGGAGCATTCACCTGGGCTTTCGACGCAGGGGGAGCTTACCCGAAACCCTAGACCCCAAACCCTAAACCTTAAACCTTAAACCCAAAACCCTAACCCTAAACCCTATAAACCCTAAACCCGAAACCCTAAACCTAGAACCTTACGCGAATCGAAGTATCGAGGTGCAATGAGCCAGCAACTTCCTTGGGCTTCGCGGGTTCAGGGTTCAGTGCTTAGGGCTTAAGGTACCCTAAACCCTAAACGCTAAACCCTACAACCCTAAAACCCTAAACCCTAAACCCTAAAACCCTAAAACCCAAAAACCCTAAAACCCTAAACCCTAAACCCTGAAACCCTAAACCCAAACCCTAAAACCCTAAACCCTAAACCTCAATGAAGAGCAGGGGAGTCGCCCCGAGCCCAATCACCTGCAGCTCCTCGACTTCCCCCTGCCTGGAGGGCTTGCAAAGCACGGCGCTGCAATGGCCGCCATGGTAGCCATCATGCTTCCTGGAACTGCAGGAGGGGCTCTGAGGCCCTCGAATCCCTAGAATCCCTAGAATCCCTACAATGCCTAGAATGCCTCGAATCCCGAGAATCCCTAGAATCCCCATAATCAACCCTATAAAGGGCCGTTTTTTTGGGGGTTATAGGGTAAGTAGCCCATCCTGGAAACCAGGATGGGCTATGAGGCCACAGAATCCCCCATCAACCCCTATAAAGAGCCGTTTAAGGGGTTATACCCTATAAGCCACATAATAAACCCCATAAAGGGCCTTGTTTAAGGGGTTGTAGGGTATAACTGCCCGTCCTGAAAAGCGCTGCAGATTGAAACTGCGCATTCGGGTTTGGGGTTTGGGGGGTTTAGAGAGCGAAGCAGCTTAAAGCCCCCAAAAAAACCCTGAATCACCGAAGGCCTGAACCCATCAACAACCCCTACGCACCCCGAAGCCCTGAAACCCTAAGCTCTCAACACCCCAAACCCCTTAACACCTAAACCCTAAACCGCAAAAACCGCAAAAACCGCAAAAACCGTAAGCACCTAAACCCCACAAGAGGCCGGCCAGGCTACACGCTGTTCAGGTGCGTGGCCGTCACCAGCGAGAGCAGGTTCCTTCGCTGGCCCTTTGGAAACACTCAGAAAAAACGGTTAAGGGTTTAGGGTTTAGGGTTTTGGGCTTCGGGTTTTACACACACGTCTTAATGCTAGTGCAGGTTTTGGGTTGAGGGTTAAGGGCTTAACTACAGGCTTGAACAACGAAACCCCAAAAACCCCTAAAGCCTAAAGCCTAAACCCCAAACCCTAAACCCCAAACCCTAAACCTCAAACCCTAAACCCTAAACCCTGAACCCAAAATATCCTAATCAGGGCTTGCTGAGGATCTCTTCCAGCGTCCACCGCTCCTGCCAGGTCCAGCCAAAGGTGCCGTAGCGCCGGAAGGGCTCGAGCCTTCAGACTGCAGGGTCTCGGGTTTAGGGTTTCGGGTTGAGGGCTTCGGGTTCAGGGTTTTAGGTTTTAGGTTTAGGGCTTAGGGCTTAGGGTCTGGGGTTTAAGGAGATTTGTTCGGAGGGTTTGAGGCTTCGAGGGTTTAGGGCCGTTTAGGGTCTAGGGTTTGCAATATTTGGGGGATCTAGTAGGCATTTCCAGAAGACGAAACAGCAATAGAATGAACCCGAGAGGCAATTCCCGATTCTGAACCCGCGCGCCTCGAATTGGACTCTTTCAGGTTTCGAGTTTAAGGTGAAGTCTAAGGTTTAGGGTTTATAAGGATTACGCTTTAATCGGGCCATTGGTTCAGGGGCAGGTGCGGTGAGGTATTATAGGTACCCAAGATGAGGGTGAGACCCTACTTCGGGCGTGTTTCTTCGTAACTCCTGAATCCGCTTCACCTTACGCCGCAAGCGCCGGTAAGCCGTCGGCCCTCAAGCTTCAACCCTGAACACCACACCCAACACCCAAAACCCTAAGCCCTAACCCCTAACCCCTAACCCCTAAACCCTAAACCCTAACCCCTAACCCCTAAACCCTAACCCAAAACCCAAAACCCAAAACCCAAAACCTTAAACCCTAAACCCTAAACCCCAAGGGTCACACCTTCGGGCCGGGCCGCGGCTCGTTCCGAAGGCGCGGGCGCCGGGCGCGGGCAGCGGAAGCCCCTCGCAGCCGGGGAGGCAGCGACCTCCTCCAGGCACCTGGAGTCGAGGGTTTGAGGGTTAAAGGTACCGATCAGGGTTGGGGTGTTTGGTTTAGGGTTTATGGGCAAGGGTTTAGGTTTAGGGTTTAGGGTTTAGGGTTTAGGGTTTAGGGTTTAGGGTTTAGGGTTTAGGGTTTAGGGTTTAGGGTTTAGGGTTTAAAGGTTCAAAAGGGCTTCTTTTCTTGGGAACCCTGTTCGCAAAGGATATGGCTACACAGGGCACCCGCAAAGGTGAAGGCAGCCAGATTTGTTTATCAAAGCCCATGTAGGGCTGTCTTCGGGTTTAGGGTTGCAATCGGGCTTGTTCGATGTGTTTTGGGATGAAGTCTACGTCGGTGTTCGCAATGTAGGACGGCTCACCGCTTAAAGAAAGTGGCACCCTGCGCATTCGAGCAAAACCTCGGGAGGGGTTGGGCATTCCAAACGCCTTCTGCCCTAGTTGAAGGTTCGTTTGCAACCCGGAATTCAGGAACCCTGACTGCTTGCGATCCTTGATGTAAAGCCCGGAGTCTGATGAAGGAAAACCCGACTGGAGGAATGGAACTCAGGCTGGACAGGCTTTAGACCTGAAAAGCCTTTGAGGGGTTAAGTATGTGCTGCGCTGCAGTCCCATCTCAATTGAAGTAGGAATTAAAACTATCTACTACTTGGCAAGCCTTCAAGTAACTCGCACGAATGTTCTTGAACCCTCAACCCTAGAGCCAGGAGCAACCTAGAAACAGACAGGGCGCCCTTTTTGGTTTAAAGGGGCTTATCAGGGAACCTAAACCCCTAAGAAACAGGAATTTGGGCCTACTCTGGGTCCTAGAATCCTAGCAGGGTCTAAACATTATGAGCCGCAACACCTGCAAAGCCGCCAGCGCCCAACGGTGCCGGCGACAGGTGCGGAGGGGCAATGCCAGCAGCAAAGAATGGCCACATCTCTTTACCAATACTCAATTCCGGAGCCCATGAAACTACTCTGCTGATCTGGGCACTCTTCTTAGGGGCTGAATACCCTAGCCCAAAAAAGGTTAACCTTTGTTGTAGTAGGATTAGAAATAAGCAAAGTGGCTAAAGGTGAACTACCCAGCCGCTAAGTCTTGTTGAGACATGTTCATGCATCCTCTGGCTGCAAAGCTCACTTTAGGAGCCACAAGGCTGAATTGGAAGGCCAGAAACAGCACCATCATGTGGGTATGTCGGGAAGCAAAGCTCCAGGATGGCGTAAGGTCTCGCCAGAGTTATGATCTCCCGGGTCATGGACCTCATAAGCGTCTAAGTTGTGGTTGCAAGAGGCGATGGGTGCCACATCAAATTTTGTTTTATTGCTTCCTTTCGTGTAGCTTGGCCTCAAGGTCCCAAAATGCAGGCTTGCAAGCTTCTTTGACAATCCAGCCTGCACAAATCGGTTCATAATACCCAGCGCTGCAGCACTTGGCAAGGCAGTTGTAACATGGACGGCGATCTGCTCTCCCCAAAAATTTTGCTGGGAATTCTCTGTGATGCTGGTAACCAGGACGGGCTAGTATACCCTGTAACCCCCTAAACCCTAAACCCTAAGCCTAAACCCTAAACCCTAAACCCTAAACCGTATGGGGGGTCATAGGGCCTCATTGCCCATCCTGGAATGCCATCTGCCTGAAGTGTCCAGCAAATCAACAAGATTAACCCAGCTGAGACAGAGAAGGTTCAGGGTTGAGGGTTTTGGGGGTTTGGGGGTTTAAGGGTCTGGGGGGTTTAGGGTTTAGGGTTTAGGGTTTAGGGTTTAGGGTTTAGCGTTTAGGGTTTAGGGTTTAGGGTCCACTGAAGGCCCCCGGCCGTTCTGGAATGTCACCGCTCCTTTGCCTACGTCTCCTTAACCCTCTGCACAAATCTCAACCCCCCAACGAAGCCCATGCTGACGTGGGGGCTGTTCAATTGCAGGGCCCCTTTGGCCAGAAGGGATGCCAGTATTGATGAAGAACCCAATACCGCGCAACCCTAAACCCTAAACCCCAAACCCCAAACCCCAAACCCTAAACCCTAAACCCTAAACCCTACGATTGCAGCCAAGGGGGCTGTCGAGGTGAGGGCAGCTGCGTAGGCTCAGGCAAAGGCTTTGCCACCGGTGGTTGGTTGAAGCCTTGGCTGGTTGCAAAAACCACTTCCAACACCAATCCCTAAACCCTAAACCCTAAACCCTAAACCCTAAACCCTAAATCCTAAACCCTAAAACCCTCCCTCATCCCGAGCCCTCTTTCCCCAGAGGCCCTTAAACCCTGCAGGCCCCATAAAAGCCTATAAACCCTATGAACCCATATGAAACCCTCCAAACTCCTCGAACTCCTGAAGCGGCAGCCCGGCCCAAACCCTAAACCCTAAACCCTAAACCCTAAACCCTAAACCCTAAACCCTAAACCCTAAACCCTAAACCCTAAACCCTAAACCCTACACCCTACACCCTACACCCTACACCCTAAACCCTAACCCACCAACCGAAGGCGAAGCGCAAGCGTGGTGGAAGGGCGTCAGCGTGCCGAAGTGACCCCGGTAGGTGTTGAGATCCACTCGAACCTTTTGCAGATCGTGGTAGAGATCTCCGAACATGGTTTAAGCCCTAAACCCTAAACCCTAAACCCTAAACCCTAAACCCTAAACCCTAAACCTACAGTGGCCTGCTTGATGTCGCACAAGAGAAAGGAGTCGAAGGTGCGCAGTTTGATGCCAGCTGCCTGGAGGGACCTCCGGAGCAATCACGCTGAGAGGGAACCCCATAAACCACGGGTTTTGGGTTTTGGGTTTTGGGCTTTGGGTTTAGGGTTTAGGGTTTAGGGTTTAGGGAGAACTCTGAGAACTCCTAAATCCTAAGCCTCATGAAGCCTAAACCCTATCTGAGAAATATTCAACATGCCCTTTGGGCATACCCCTTAGAAGAAATTAAGGGGTATGGTAAAATGCTTCCTTGTATTCTTCTTTTGTAGGTTAAGGGGTATGGGTTTTGGTGTTGAATTATTCTTAGACCTCAGCTTCAGGGCAAAGGCCTCTCTAAGCGATGGTTTCTTGGGCAAACTGTGAATTGCTTTTTGCTTAAGAACCCCCAAAGAATAAAGAAAAACAATAATCCTATATTACCCTAAATAAGGCAGACAATTTTTCGGGGTTCTTACGCAATTAGTAGTGTCTGGGAACCTTCCGCAGCCTGACCTGCAGCCGTGGTTTGCATGGGAAATGTTGAGTCGAAGGCTTTAGAGATTCGCTCTCTCATTTGGGCCAGAAGACGAAACACAAAAATCCTTAGCCTAACAAAAACCCAAAAAAAGCACTAACCCTAAAAACCTAAAACTCTTCAAAACAGCCTGAAAGCCTAAACTCTTCGAAAACCCCAAAGCCCCGAAACCTAAAACCCCCTAAAAAAACAAACAAACCCCACCCCCCCCCCCAAAAACAAAAAATCCTAAACCCTTAAATCTTAAACCCTAAAACGCCCTAACAAAAAGCCCCAAACCCTAAACCCTAAAACCCCCCAAGAACAACCCAACCCTAAATCTTAAAGCCCCCTAACAAAATCCCAAAAACCCTAAACCGTAAAATCTCCCAACAAAAACCCTGAAAGCCCTAACAAGCACCAAAAGGCCCTAAACCCTAGATCTTAAACCCCAAAACCCCCTTACACATGCCCGAAAAAGCCCTAAACCCTAAACCCTAAACCCTAAACCCTAAAACACTAAGCCCTAAGCCCTAAGCCCTAAACCCTACTGTAAAAAGCCCGCCTCGCCTGGCGACCTCGCGGTCCACGGTGAGTCCCTGAGGCCCGCTGGGCTGCACTGCGCTGCCTGGAGGACTTGAAGTTCAGACGCTTGCAAGGTTTAGGGTTTAGGGTTTAGGGTTTAGGGTTTAGGGGTTTAGGGGTTTAGGGGTTTAGGGGTTTAGGGGTTTATAGGGGTTTAGGGGTTTAGGGGTTTATAGGGGTTTAGGGGTTTAGGGGTTTAGGGGTTTACGGGTTTAGGGGTTTACGGGTTTACGGGTTTGCGGTTTTACGGTTCACGGGTTTAGGGTTACTGTGCAGGGTTTTCAGGGATTCCAGGGGTATGAGGGGGGGTTTATAGGGTTTTGTGTTTAAGGTTCAGGGTTTGGAATTCTAACAGGGCTCTGTTGCAGGGATTTCGGGTAGGGTCTGGCCTGGGAGGCTTTGGAGCAATTCGCAACTACTTGAAAATAGTTGCTGTTGTCACTGCGGCATCTTACCTTCCTTGGGTTCCTACTTATGTTTTGCCCTTCATGGTCCTGCAGCGTATGCCAAATAAGATTACCTAAAGACCTGGTTGCTTGGCTGAACCCCAGAGCGTAACAAACCTCCAGACACACGCCTGAAGACCGACATAAGCCACTTGAAATGCGTGTATCCTGAACACTAAACTTGGGATGTTCCCCCTTATGGTCCTTGATAGTGATTAAACTAGGGGGTACGTACTGTAATCCCTGCTAAGGACAGTTAGCATAAGGGGGAACATCCCAACCCTAACCTCTAATAGGTGATCTCAAGCCGGGGAACTGGTCAACACCTCCTCGGCGCCGGCCTCCTGTGCGGCAGCAAGGACGACCTGCGAAAGACATGCTTGCGACAGCCCGTGTTGTTGCGTCAAAAGTCTTTCTGCAGTATGTTGTAGTGCATTGCAAAAACGCTGCAAGTGCCGGTGTTGTGGGCAATGAACGCAACTACCCACCCACCCACTTACCCACCCACCCGCCCACTTACCCACCCACCCACCCACCCATCCACCCACCCACATGAAATTGCAAGACAACCGACAACACGATACAAGTATTCTAAGTAAGGGATAAACAGAAGGATATGTTGGGAGTGTTTCTAGAGGCGTTAGGAGGGCTGCAAGAGATGGGCTCCTGTATGGGGAGATGCACGGAGTTCAACTGGCAATTTGGCTATCAGCGACTTGAGGTCGCTTGGGTCTGGCTAGTAGAACCCTAAACCCTAAACCCTAAAGAACCCTGGCTGAACCTTTAGGGTTTTAGGGTTTGGTGGTTTTGGCTGTCTGGGTACGCTGCCTCGGCTAAGTTTGAGCCCCGCCGCACGCGGATCGCGTTGCCATACCTTGGCATGTTCTGTGCCCTAAACCCTAAACCCTAAACCCTAAACCCTAAACCCTAAGCCCTAAGCCCTCAACCCCAAGATTCGTGGGTCTTTGGAAGGGGCTTTGCAGGGTTGAGGGTGGTACATATCAAAGCGTTCTCTCCGAAAGACCCCGAAAAGGCGGGGGCTTGGACCAGAGGAGTTCTACCGGTGGCGGCTGCAGAGTTCCAGTTCCTGCTGATGCCATCAGGACAGCAGGACTTTGCGTGTGGGTTCTCTGCTGTGGGGTTAGGGGGTTTAGGGATAGGGTTTAGGGTTTAGGGTTTAGGGTTTAGGGTTTAGGGTTTAGGGTTTAGGGTTTAGGGTTTAGGGTTTAGGGTTTAGGGTTTCAAGCCACTTTGGGGGCGGAGGTCCACCCTCAACCCTAGGAGTAGCTTCAGGTTTAGGGTTTCGGGTTTCGGGTTTAGGGTTTAGGGAACTCCCCCCGAAGACGCAACCCCTCACGAGCAACCCCTAAACCCGACACCCGAAAATGATTACGGCTCATGTTTGTGGAGGTTTCCAAGGAAAATCAATCCTCCCAAAGCCCTAAAGCAACCCTAAACCCTAAACCTTAAACCCTAACTAAACCCTAAACCCTAAACCCACTCAAGGGGAGGAGCTTGCTCTGGATGGAGGCATCCAGGGCAGCCACCGCATGGTGCAGGAAGAAGGCCGCGGCAGTGCCAGCCAGCTGCCACTCACCTCATGCGAAGATAGGGTTTAGGGTTTAGGGTTTAGGGTTTAGGATCTTAGGATCTTAGGGTTTAGGGTTTAGGGTTTAGGGCACCCATGATTAAGACTGTTTAGGGCGAATGAAGCGCTAGTTGCGGTTATTTACGAGGGGAACCTATGGGGGGGTAGTATAGAGGGGGGTTGTAGGGAAACCTACGGCACTTCCACATGCGAAAATACCTCTGAACTCTTGAGGACCCGAACACCCTGGAGCTCAAACCCTCCATGAAGTTCCAGTGGCCAGTATTATTAGTTTGCTTTGAAGTTTTCGGTGTCGCAGGCTCGAAACTGTAAACGCTACAACCACAGAAACCAACGAACAAGCAAAAACCTTAAAACAGATAAACTACAACCAACACCTGAAACCGTGAAACCCTGAAACCCCAAAACCCGTTTACCCTTCACCCTCGGACCTAACCCCTAAACCCTAAAATCGCAAAAAACACGAAACCCTAAACCCTAAAACCTAAACCCTAAACCCTCCCTAACCCTAAAACACTAAACCCTAAAGCCCATGACCCGGCAAGTGCCGCCTTCCGCCGCGTCCTCCTCCTCCGACCAGGCGAAAACCAAGTGCACCTCGATGGCAGGGTCGGGACCATTTCTTATCGGATTTAGGGTTTAGAGTCTAGGGTCTAGGGTCTAGGGTTTAGGGCGTAAAGTTTAGGGCTTTTTTAAGGTTTTTGAACCCTTAAAACTTGAAACCCCATCACCCCAAAACCCTAGAATCCATAAGCCCCAAAACCCAAACCCCTAAGCGCCTAAAAGCCTAAAACCCACAAAAACCCAAAACCCCAAACAAACCGAAACTCCTAAAACCCTGAACTCCCCCCCCCCCCCATACCGGCCAAAAAAAGACCTAACCCCTTAAACCACCAAACCCCAAAATCCTTAGACCCTCAAACCCTTAGACCCCATGCAAGCCCCAAAAGCCTTACCGGCCTTACCCCAATCCCCCAAAGAACCGGAGCCCCAGGACGCAAAACCCTGAATCCCTGAATCCCTGAAACCCCAAAAACTCGGGTTTAGGGTTTAGGGCTTAGGGTTTAGGATTTAGGGTTTAGGGTTAGGGGCCAGTTTAGGGTTTAGGGCTTAAGGTTTAGGGGCAGAACCCTTAAACCCTTGAACCCTTCGAGCCCCAAACTTGGCATGCTCCCCCCTTATGCGAACAGTCCTTAATGGGGATTCTAGTACTCCCAATTCAGGACTGCTAGTATAAGGGGGGAACATCCCAACCCTAAACCCTAAACCCTAAACCCTAAACAGTCCTTTATAAGGGGGGAGCATCCCAACCCTAAACCCGTAAACCTTCCTCCGCACTTCGTTGGATCTAGCAACGGCTTTGCGGCTCTGAGCAGCGTGCCACAAAGCCGGCCTCTGGGTTGCGGGAAGGTCAGGTAGGGCCAAGGGCTTTAAGGTTGGTTGTTTAGGGCTTAGGGGCTTCGTACAATTTAGGGTAACCCTAAACCCTAAACCCTAGACCCTAAACTACCCTAAACCCTAAACCCTTCAGGGTTTAGGGTTTAGCGTTGGGGGCGTTAGGGTCTTGACTCCGAAGGAAATTTGACTGCAAAAGTGCTTTGGACCTTTACTCGGCCAGGAGATACCTGGAGTCTCTATTAATCGGTTTGTCGACAGATTTTGTGTACTTTTTTGTTAGTTCTGCCGCCGAGCAGCTTGAGCCCGGAGATGCTTAGAATTGGCTTTAGGGGTTTCAAGTTTCGGGCTTAGGGTCCTTAAACTCTACACCCCGAAAACCCTTCAAACTCTCCTTGCCATGGCAAAGCCAAAGTACGAGAATAACGTGCCTCCAACCTTGAACCTGATGTTCGAAAACATCGTTAGACTCGTTAGACCCCAGGCCTAAGCCCTAACCCCTATAATACGCTGGAACCCTATGATAACTCCAAACCTTGTAAGCTTCAAACCTGTGCCCTGTTGACCCCGAACCCTAACACTCTAACCGCTGAACTCTCCGGCATGTTTTCGGGCTGAGGTTTATGGGTTCAGGTTGGGGGTTGGAGCTAAGGCACATCTACATTCCTAAAGTTCGTTAGGGGCTTGGCCCCTCCTAAACCCTAAGCACCCTACACCCTAAACCCTAAACACACTGCACACTAGACCCTGCACCCTAAACCCAAAAAATCCTTAAACCCTAAACCCTAAACCCTAAACCCTAAACCCTAAACCCTAAACCCTAAACCCTAAACCCTAAACCCTACTCTCTGCTGGATGGCTGGTCGTGAAGTCGAAGGTCAAAGGGTCGAAGCCACACGAGCCTGGGAGCTGCCACGAGCTCGCATCCTACAAGCTGGGGTTCAGGGCTTATGGGTTTAAGTTTTAGGAGTTTGGGGTTTAGGGTTTAGGAGTTTAGGGTTTGGGAGCTTCGGGTAGAGGAGTTTGGGGTTTAGGAGTTACGGGTTTAGGAGTTTAAGGTTTAGGAATCTAGGGTGCCGGGATCATGAGAGCGACTTTCTACAGCACCACTGACAGCTGGGCCCGAGGCTTTTTCTAGACTTTGTTTCAGACTTTTTCTAAACTTTCTGGACATGTTTTAGACTTTGCTTGGGAAAAGTCTAGAAAAATCTGAAGAAGTCTAGAAGAAGTCTCGGGCAGAGTCTCCAGGGGGAGACTTAGCTTAGACTTTTCCAAGATTTTGTCCAGGCTTTGCTTACGACTCTCATGAGGACTTTTTGAGGACTTTGTTAGACTCAAAGGTTGTCAAGAGGACTTTTCAAAAGGGCTCTGTTTTAACTTTCTGTAGACTTTTAATCGTTACCAGGAAACTAGGCAAGCCAACCACAGAACCCTAAGTGTTAAGAATGACTTGGCGAGACTTTTGAAGTATGGGGCTTCACATGCCGAACCCTAGAACTTCTGTCCTTAAGGGTGCTCGTAACCTAACTTAAGTATAGGAAAGCACCGAAGGTCCCCTCAACCCTGAACCCTAAACCCCAAACCCCAAACCCTAAACCCTTCATCCGGTCATCCCAGGAGCACGCTGGCACCGGGTGGGCTTCCAGCGCGAGCGGCGGCCACCGGCCGCCTTCGCACCAAAAGAGTTGAGGTCTCAGGGGCTACAGGGTTTGGGGTTTAGGGGGTTTAGGGGGTTTAGGGGGTTTAGGGGGTTTAGGGGGTTTAGGGGGTTTAGGGGGTTTAGGGGGTTTAGGGGGTTTAGGGTTTAGGATTTACGGTTCCAGGGTTTGCTATTTTGGGGGGTTTGATGATTCAGGGTTCATAATTTGGCTTTGGGGGCAGGGTCTAGGTTTGGATTTGGGGTTTAGGGTTTAGGGTTTGGGGTTTGGTTTCGGGGTTAGGATTTCGGTGCTGTGGGGATTCAAGGTTCAGGTTTGAGGATTTAGGGACAACGTGCGGTCTGAGGGTTAAGGTTTAGGGTTTAGGGTTTAGGGTTTAGGGTTTAGGGTTTAGGGAAACCCTACGTAAAGAAATTACCCTGAACCCTCCCTATGCCCTAAGCTAAACCCTAGAAACCTTATAAGCCAGGAAAATACTGCAACCCCGATAAGGCCGATGATCCCACTAAAAAAAGAAGCACCCTTGCAACCCTAAGCCTAAGCACCCGCAACTTTCGCGCCAGAAACCCTAAACCCTAAAACCCTAAACCCCAAACCCCAAACCCCAAACCCTAAACCCTAAACCCTAAACCCTAATCCCTACACCCTCAGCCCTTCTCCAGTGCTGCAGCGCCTCGGGGCTGGGTCGGCCCCTGAACCCAAACATTCGGGAGGTCTATGCCGACCAGGAGGTTCATGGGTTTAGGGTTTAGGGTACAGGGTTTAGGGTTTAGGGAACAGGGTTTCGCACTGAGGGTCCCGTTATATAGACCCCAAATAGTAGGATTCCCTGATAATAGGAACCCCAGTTAAGGTACCCCAATATGGTAAACCCCAGATAGGGATTAGATGGCTTGCGCCCCAACGTAGCTACTATAGATAGGTCTTCTTCTGGGTCGGGATATGCAACTCGCTATCAGCATGAAAATCCGCCTTTTCGGGGGCGCAGCCACACGAAGCCCGCGGCGGACGTTGGCGCAGAAACCTGGCGTTTCATTTAGGGCAGCAGTAGCTACATATGGGGGTTTACGTTAACGACAATAAGGGACCCCTGATAAAGAGCCCAAAGTAGGAGCCCCTTATCATAAGACCCCCAATAAGGTAACCCCCCGAATTTCGGAAACCTCCATTTGATGTCAAAGCCTGAGAGCAAAACTCGAGTCTCGAGGTAGGGCCTGTACGCCCTACCTAAACCCAAAACTCTAAACCGTAAATCCTGAAACCTCTACATCCAAGAACCAGAGTGAGCCGTGCGCATTCTATTCTTTTTCCTGTTCCGTTTTTTTTTTTTGGGGGGGGGGAGGCCAATAGTAAGACTATAGGAGTTGGAGACCCTCTGTTTCAGCCAACGCTGCCAAGGAGCTCAGCGAAACTTGAGGGTTGATCGGAATTTCCGTGCATGGCGCTGCAGGAAGCCAATCATCCTCCGCCGACTTCAGTTTGAAGGCTTTGGGGGTTTCGGGCTACTCAAGGCAACTAGGACTGCGAGGATTTGGATTCAGGATCGAAATGGCCCAGACACGACTGAGGGCGTGGGTCTGGGAAGCGCGTCTGCGCAGATGTGTCGGCAAGCTGCTCATAGATACTGTGGGCCGAGCTTATTGCCTAGGCAACGTCGAGGCGAAGATCCTTGAAGCTTCATGTGAAGTAGGGTTTCTAGTTTCTTGTATCCCCAAAAGGACACCCGGGATATACACTCACCAATATCAAAAAGGAACCTTCTATACACTCACCAAAAACAGCAATATAAACCCTGCTTCATGTCGGATCATGAACCCTTAGCCCATGAACCTCCGAGTGCTCGAATCTGCTCGCTGCGGGGGCAGGCGATGTATTGGCCAGGGGCACCGCGGCGGCAGTAGCACCTCTCAAAACAGTTCTACGGTTTGGGCCCAAGCCTTATAATAGGGTCGGAAGAATGACGAATAGTACTCCCATATGGCACCTGTATAAATATCAATGTACTATAATGACCCCCAAAACCCTATTCTAATTCTTAAGGCCCCTAAACCCTACACCCTAAACCCTAAACCCTTAACCCTTAAACCCTAAACCCTATTCTAACTATTCAGGCAAACCTTAAACCCTAAACCTATTAAGGCCCCTACACTGCACTTGAGGATCTTACCGGGGCAGCCAGCTTGGGCAGCCCCCTCACGCGCGACGCCCGAGGCGCGTCCCCATCGCCGCATGGAGCCGGAGTTCGTGTCTAAGGCTTCAGGGTTTAGGGTTTAGGGTTAGGGCCTTGGGGCTTAAGGTTTAGGATTTAGGGAAATTTAGGGTTTGGCGTTTAGGGTTTGGGGATACCGCTGTAGGTCTGCCCTTGGAAACCCTACAACTGCAGCCTTGGGGCTTCAAGTAAAACGAACAGAAGCTTCAGGCTCTCAAGCTCTAGGTCTGTTGGGATGTCAGGTAGGGCTAAACGGGCCTGGCGTAAAAGTTTAGGGTTTAGGCTTGAGGGTGGGGTTCATGAGCACGTCCAAACAAGCAGTATGCGTGATATGCTACTTCAAAAAATTATCTGCTTGAGCAAAAGATGGTTTTTAACCGCACAAATTTACGAACTCAAGAACACATGGAGATTTGACAAATCGGGATGCCCTTCAATGATCTCATCCTTTCTACAGGAACACCCAAAACAGGCACCCTTGTCATTGGGAAAGCACCATATGGGTGGCTGTCAAAATTATGACCCCTTTTGGAGTACCCTACATATCAGGTGCCGTATTGTAATAGGGATCCGAAAAGGGAAAATTATTTTGACAACCACCCATATCTCAACATTACTAACTGCAAGGCGGCCGAGGGAGGAGGTTCTACAGCATCTTTCTGTTTCAGGCCGGCAAGGCCATTGCCAGAAATCAGACATGTGCGGGGGCGCGTGCGTAGGGAACGGAGGGAGGGAGAGAGAGAGAGAGAGAGAGAGAGTGAGCGGCAGGTGGTGGGGCGGGGGGGGGGGGAAACTTAGCCCTTGAGCCCTAACATCCTCAGCCCTTTTTGGCATCTCAGGGCCGCCTGGTATACTTCAGAACCCGAAACTCAGAATTGCCGCTTCTTCAATTCATGTACCCCCTTGCTGCTTGCTATAGGAGCACCCCGACTGTTCCGTGTTATAACAAGGGGATTCAAGAAGGGACCACAACGCGGCTAAAGGGAATCGGGATGACCAAACCCTACACTGACAAGATCCTTCCTCAGCTCTACATTGAGGAGAGCCCAACCCAGACCCAAAAAGTGCGCAAAACGGTTGAATTGGGACAACTAGGCAGAAAGCTCGAGATTGTGAGGAGGTTTTCCCTTGCTAAGGCAATAGCCTGAAGCATACATCCTAAACCCCAAGGCATAAATCATAAACCCTAAACCCCCCATTGAAAATGGCAGTGCAAACCCCAGACTCAAGTGCGGTTCCGGGTTTGGAGTTCAGGGTTTAGGGGAACCTGAAAACCTCGGGGCCCGAACTTTGTCAGCTGGCATCTTTTGCGGTCGCTGCAACTGGCATGATGGCCCTTTGCTGTCAGTCATTGACTTTCACAGTTGATGTGAGCAAGACTCTGGCGAGGGTTGGCCCAAGTTTCGGCAGATCGGCTGTTTCAGATTCATCCCCCCCCCACACCCCCCACCCCATAAGCCCTAAATAGATAGTAGCACCCGCAAGCCCAAGTCGCCAGCCTAAACATGTCTAAAGAATAGGTTCCCGGTTACCTG